CACTTAATGATATTGAATGTTATTTTCCATTAATTCTAAATGAATACTATATTTACATTACATGTCTGCATGCCCTCTGCAGAGTGTGTAGAGCATGTTAAATGCCTCAAAAGAATCTTAATTTCTGAGAGCAAACATCTGTTTTCATATGTAGTAGCAGACTGGGGACGTCTTACACAAGTATTACTTTTAATGTTGTGTTGAACAAAGATTTTTTTAATGAGGAAGGGGTTTCAGAGGAGCCTGAGGGTGCTCTGCAGATAGCCAAAACCAGTTAAAAATGAGTGGTAGCTAGCACTGAGTCACACCAGGAATATTTTAATATTCAGCTGAAGGTCTGATTTCAGAGTGTTTGTTGAGAGTAAGGTGGGCTTTTGACTTTTACTCCCATTAGCTGTTAGAAAATTCTTAGTTTATTACTGCTATTATGATATTCCTTCAGCATTTTATCAAATACTTCACACAGTTACAGCTAAAATGACATTGAAATGGTAATGAAACTTAGAACAATTTGAGTTATCAAATGCACTAAACTAAAAAGTGCTATTGTAGTTATGCTTTTGCTTATAATTACTTCAGAGGATGATAGAATGAGGAAGAACTGGATTAAAAATGCTTGATCACATTTCAGCAATTAGTTTCCTAATTCAGTAGTTTGTAAATAGTATATTATCAGTAAGGGATTGAAAGAGTTGCACAGCATCTTGTTTTCTAATGACTAATATCAGTTAAGATGGCTTCTGAAATTGAGGTAGATGTTTTGTGTTATTATAAATAACTAAAGCTGTAAATGTTGTCAATAAACAGACCTTGTCCTAAGAGTTGTCCAAGGTTGAGTTTGTCTTACTCAAGTAGAGCTCAGAAGTAGAATGTGTGTTTCTAAGTCAGTTGAGTGATCAGTTGGATATTATATATCTGGAAGCATGCAAAGCATTTTAATTTATTCAAGAATTCTGTTGTGAGCAATTTGTTTAGTAAGAGAAGATCAACAAAAAGCATATGCCATTATTTTTTTACTATAGTTTTTCAAATTATTTCCATGTGTATAGGAGTTTCTTTGTACTGTAAAGTTATTTTAGATACAAGAATAATTTGTCTCATGCTTTGAGTTCCTCATTGTTAAAGTATCCCCTTAGATTTGCTATTACTTTGACTATTGTGTGACATATAGTAAAAAAAAAAAAGTAGTTTACAATAAAAGAAACTTAACAAGTAATTGGAATTCCAGATTGTGTGCAGAATGTGCCAAGTGAAGTAATGGTGTTTGCAGGGATATCGTATGAGTGCAGTAGCTGTGGGGAAAGTACTATAAAACTGTTAAATATGCTCCCCCTCCCCCTGCTGTCTTTAACCACTGGTATAAAAGTTTGAGAAAATAAAGCAATCTTGACTGGCTGACAAACATTCCAACAGAGAAATTAATGTATTGTAAATCACATGTTATAACTGGTTACCCATATTTTTTTATTGTTTCTATTGATGTAAAAATTCATGGACAGCTGTAGCATGAAAAGATAAATGGAAAAGGCTTTTTTATATTTGTATGTTTCATGTTGAACAGTCCTAGGACCTGGCAGAACAGCAACTGGAGCAAAGGAGAAGTGTCATTTGTAATGCTGCTTTCTTAAAATAATGTTTTTGTCTGACTTAGTGCAGAGGATGTCATGACTAATGAGAAAGCTGGAGTTGGAGTATGGAGAGTGGACTGTGCATTCTGTAATGCTGATAAAAGTTAAGCATAACTTACATAGGAAAAATCACTTCAATGATTGGAATTAATATAATTTGATAGACTGCCTGCAGATGAGTTTGCTAACTTCAAGGTACATAGGAAGGACTGTATTTACAAACCACTTTTGAACATATACTTTAGTAGAATAGCAACAAAGTTTTATTCCTAGCAGTGTAACTTTCTTCATGCCCTTTTGGTGTAAATTCAGATGTCTTCATGGTGGTTCTTAGTTTAACAGACTCTGAAAATGTAGCACAGGTGTGTGTTTTACAGAGCTGTTTGGATGTAAGTCAACTAGGATGACCAGTTCTGCGTGTAATTCCAACAACAACAGATCCAGTCCTGAGCAAGGACTATAGTCAGCAGCAAATATTAATGCAGCCAGAGAAACTAGGACTCGTGCTTAATTCTGCTTCATCTCATTTTGGATTGAGAGTTTGCTATTTGTCAGAAATAATGGATGCAAACTACAAGCTTATGGGTCACAAACAGGCCGTCGCATGAACAGGATGGCTGCTAACATGAGTACTGGATATGTAAGTTGAAAGTCAAGAGTTAAGTCTTCCCCTTAAGTATTTGGGGGAGACTTGGCATCTCCAGCCTTATGGTGCTCACAAAGACAGCTTCCTCTTACAGCTTACTTAGTTTTTATAGTGAATGTTAATATATGTTAAAAATTGCAGCAATACCTGAAGCCTTTTTTGGTGGCTATAGGATCAGAAGTTCCAAAAGAGAAGGCTGTTTCTGTTTAACCTGAGTTTATATAGTAAGTAAGGGAAATACTGTGTTTTGAGTCCTATTGTGTGTTTCCAGAAGGCACTTTAGATTCGTTCCACCTGCAGTGCATGATGAGTTGGGGATACCTGCTACCCAAAGAACCCCAACCCAATCAGTTTCAATACATTTGTAGTTTGTCCAGGAGACTGATTTTATTCACTGACTAAAAACTGCTTCATGAAGTGAGAGCTCAGACTTACCTGCAGCAGCTCCTTATTTGTATAGTGCCAACTGGGGTCTTCACTTGTGTGCAGTTCTAACTGTACAGAGTTCAGATGATCTCTTTGTATTGGAATGGGTCAATAGTGATGAGTAGTGGTCCATGGTTGTAACAGGTAAGGAAAGCAGAACCTCGGGAGGAATTCATGGTCAAAGAGATAAAAGAAGAAAGAGAACCTTGGGAGGCAGCTGGCATTTGCATAAGCCACAGCTGTGGTTTGTTCAGTTCCTGTGATGAGAGCATGGAGAGTGACTGCACAGAAAGGGCAGCTGAAGGACAAGGGAGGTAGAGGAAGATAGATGAAGTAACACCTTTGGGTGGCATCATGGTCCCCAGACCCAATAGGTTGCTCATGTGTTTGCCTCGTGTGATGTGACCTGGGCGGGATGCCTTGCAGCACAGGCTGGCCCCCTGTGCCGGATCTCCATCCCCCTGCTGAGGGTATAAACCCGGGATTTTCCTGAGGGCACTGGGCTAGAGCACTGCTGAGGTCACCGTTGCCTCTGTGGGGACGCCCACGTAAAGTGCAGCCCCTGCCAACTGCCTGTTGCACCACATGAAGCTTCTTCCCCTGGGGCTGGGGGCCTTCATCTCTGTCGGGATGGTATGTAGCTACTGTCATGTGTGATACTGCTTTTTGCTAGAAGTCAGTAGCTTAGTAAATTGCATATGCTTTGCTTATTTTTGTGTGCCTGTATCTGCCCACTTGAGCTGTGCAAGGAATCCCGGATCCCACTCTAAAACACTCTTATAACATAGTTTTTCCAGAGTATTTGATGGCAGTTGTGAAACCAACATTGTAATTATGGCCTTAGCATTCTGTAGGAAGGGGGTTTGGACAGTCCAGTAGGACCATCAGTTACCAAAAATAATCTGTGACACCTCTTTGCCTTTGTAGTTGCTATTACCTTGGAAAACTTTGGATAAGGTTTCCTATCTTTGTGCTCTGGAGCCATGCTGCAAGCCAACCTAGTAAACCAGCAACAACTCTGGTTGTTGTTTTTATTTGATAGCTACCTGGTTTTTGATGCGGATTGTACTAGAGGAGGTGCTTGAAAGTTACCAACGTAGTTAAAATAATTTGTGGTAATTCTTTATGAATTATAGCTTGAATGTTTGCATGAATGTTTCACATGGGTGTAAATAGTGGAACAGTGCATTAGGCTTTCTCATAAAAAATAAGTTTTGTAACTAAGAATGAAATTTGATCTATCTTTGTTTGATGGTTGTATTTGACACAGAGACAGTGTCTTCTGTAATGTATTCTAAGTATGGAATAATGGCACATGATGGGCATGTATGTGTCACCTCATGACTATGAAAAGAAATACAAGCTTTTAATTAAGAGTAAGCATTTGAAGAAATAAAAAGAAAGCTTTGTCCTGGCTTCAGCTGTTAACATCTATGCTAGTCCTTCACTGTTCAGTTCCTCTTCTGTCTCTGAATAACCCTCAAGTGAAGCAAAATGTTGATGGTATTTGCTGTTGTCTCATAATTTGTCAAACACTTCCCTAAATTTTGTATTTGCATGGTAGATGATCAGGTAAGCAAAACTAGCAATTTTTTGGTAGGAGTAAGTTAAATGAAGTACTGTTTCCTGGGGAGAAAATAGTATAGTGTAGCTAATAAATCACTGATTTGTATTGATCCAGAGCAGCATAAGGGGAATTTTCTAGAAACTTGTGCCTTCTTTTCAGAAAGATACTGCAGGGAAAAGCCAGCCAGGGTTTGAAGCCAGCATAGTAGCTGCAGCAGCAGCCAACAAATGGACTAAGGGTACTACTGATGCCATTGAAGTCGTGTTGCTGTCTTCACTGTGAACATTCATGATTTCTTCTAATGCATCCTGTCCCCTATCTAAATGGAACACCAAATAATTCCTTTTCCTGTAGATCAACCTGAATATCCATACTTCAAAAAACTGAAGCAATGATTTATAAATTAATAATACTGCAACTGTACAGTATAGTATACTCAGCTTGTTTGTTCTGATCCTTTTCTTGATCTCTCAGATTCTTAATCTTGTTTTACCTGTCTGTCTAGCACAGGTTGGTTTTTAGGTGTTATTGCAATAAGTTATATTAATAGTAAGTAATACTAATTAACACGTCTGAATTGAAGAATAAGTGTTATTTTCTTTTGGTCAAAGAATTCCATTAAAATCAGGAAGTTCTGTTATATTTGTAAATGGAACAGTAGAAACAGCATAAACTCAGTGTTACTGCTTGTCTTCCTAGTTTCTTACTGAGCTTTATTTTTTTTTTTATGCAGAGATTTAAAGGGTGTTATAGTCACTCTGAGTGACAGTGGGCATCTTCAGTGTTCCTACCTTGGAACTGATCCTTCACTTTTCCAGGCTCCTAGGGTTGATTCTAGGGAAATAAACTATGAAGAATTAGATGCTGAAATGAAAGAGCTTCAGAAAATCATCAAAGAGGCCACAGAAACAGGTATACTTTCCCCCTTCCTGTGGTTTTACCTACTTTTAACCACCTGACTTTCCTTTTTAGCACTTCAAAATATATTGTTTTAATAGTTTACCATAATTACATTTTTGTAGGAAATGTAATATTTAATAAAATTTAGGTTTCAATTAAAAAAGTATAAACAAAATCCTATACTGTAAAACTCTTGAATATGGAATTTTTTTGGGTGCATTTTCTTAATGCCTTGTGGAACTTTCAAGATATTACTGTCAGACTGCAGGTGATTCTCAACTAGTACAAGGGTTCAGAGAAAAAAAAAGACAATGCATGTACTACCAAAAGGCAGGAAAATGTAAGGCATTTCACAGCAACAATCTGATAGACTTCAGAGAGAGCACAAATGTTGCCAAATTCTATCTTATTACTACAAATAGCTTCTTAAGTAATGCAATTCAAGTATGACACTTGTTAAAGCAACTTTTCTGTCACTTAAACTTTCAAAAGTGGTTGTATTTGATGAACATAGTGAGAGATACCAGAAACCAAATAGCTGATCATAATAAACTATGGGATTTACATATGTTGCTAATAACTTCTATTAGTTTTCTTCAAGGTAGGGCACAATTTCTACATAAATTGTGGAAAGTTGGTTTTCAAAACTGAGTTTTTAAACTGTATCTGGCTTACAGAGGGAATTGGAAGTGTCTGATTTTACAGGAAACTATAGAAAAATCTTGGACAAATTGAAGCAATTATTTTTCTAATGATAGCATGTTCTGAAAACGCACTAAAGAAATAGTAATGGCTTTCTGTGAATAAGAGTGAAAAAGCCCACAGTTGAAACCCCTAGAAATTATTTATCTGCAGTTGTGATCTTGATTGTACACCTTGAAGATTTCTTTTTTGAAATTGCATGTAACTTTGTCCATTTGTGTGATAGACTAATACCAGTCTTTTAATTTTACAGATTAGTAATTGGTTATTGAAGTGTGTAGGTGATGGTAAATTCCATTGATTGTTATCACAGACTTTTTAATAAGTATTTGACAGTCTTGTCTGTTTATCATAACCAAAGGAAAGAAAAACATGATGGAAAGAAATTCATTTGAAGTGAATCAACTTCTGTTTGTTAGTTTTAACATATAGTGTGGAAGACCTAGAGAGAGAAAGGAAACATAGCTGTCCTTAACTTTTCTAATAACTAGGATGGTATGTTTGACAACTATATTGTGAATATTCTTGATCTTTTACCTAGTCTCTCTTCCTCTGATTCCTTCCTCAGTCTTTAAAATCTGATTTCAGGTGTTACAGTATTGTTTTTAGAGGAGTTCTTACTAATGCTCGTTTTGTTGTGGAGTGAAGCTCTAATGATGTTGTGTTTGGATGTAAATCTTGTGAGAAAAACCTTTTTTACAGCAAAATGTTTTACTTATGGAAAATGCCTTTCAGTTTCAGATGTTCTGGCTTTACTTAATTTTGGCTTTTTTTCTTAAAACTGTAAGTCTTAACTGTTGATCATGTCTGGTTGAATACAAAACACTTCTGAACATTGGTTACCATGAAGTTACTCCTAAGCATGATCTTTAAAATGACCCATTGACTTTTCTGTCTTTTGTATTCACATTTGTGCAGGAAGAGCTTGTGTTGTTTTGAAAATATCTAGCCTTATATGGAGATAATTTTTCTGTTTCATTTAGACTTCCAAACATGGAAAGTATTTAGCATTAAGTCATCATATAAAAAAACCTTAGAGTAGTTATTTCCATAAATGTCTTGAATTTCTGTCCAGTGCTGACCATTAAACTGTTGAACTTAAGCTGTTTTATACATTTTGAAGAATAAGGATTTACATTATAAACTGATGAAATATTTTAAAATCTGCTATATTAACTTAAAACTAATGTTACTTGCCTCAGTCTGGATGACATTGGTGATTAAACTTAGGTGTTTTGGCTCAGTATAAAAGCAACAAAAAGCTGATAGTTAACATGCATCTCTGTCCTATGACTTTAGAACAGAAAGTGCATCATAGTTTACTTAAAGAAGCAACCTGAAAGGAAATGGTTAAGAAGGGATAGAAAAGGAAGATATTTTTTTGTCTGTAAAGTGCATTGTTGTGCTGAACTGTGTGTAATTGGCAAAACCAGTTGTGTGCAATTGTGGCGGTATGAAACAGGCTGAGGCTTCTTTGATAGGTGGTATTGGAGTAGCATGCTTTGGATTTGCTTTGTTTCTTTGTAGTAAAGGGAGGCATTTTTCTCTGAGCACAAGATAACGAAAACCTATTTCATCTCTCCATCAAAATCTTTTGACCCTCTTGTTAGAAAGAGATAACATGCTGCCTACGAGTTCTGGGTTGTTTTCAGGACCCTATGTGTAGTAAAATTCTTGCAGCTTTCTGAGTGCTTATGCTCTCATATTTTCAATTGTGTTAATTTCCCCTCAACATTAATTCTTTACTACTTAATACTTTAGGAGCTATAGATTTGCTGTTTGAGTTCTTCTACAAGTGCTTTCCAGAAAAACAGAAATACCTTAGAGCTGGACTTCTGGGCTCTTAAGATGTGATTATCTAATTCCTCATGGTGTTTAAGTACTTAGCTTTTAATTCTTACAACATTTTTTACATATGTGAATCTGCATAAGGTTTTATATAATGGATATAAATGAGTTCATAACATTCTTGGGTAACTAAACCCAGTATAATGTTCTGTACATAAAACTTCCATATCCCTTCTATGCAGAGGAATTCCTAAAATATATTTTAATTTTACACTATTAAGTACAGAATCTTTCTTTGTCTAACATTAATTATTGAATTATGTAGATGACTGTGCCATGAGGTGTCCAGTGTGTATTTTGGAGATGGTTGTCTATTAAAGGTGTATTAGGATATCAGTGTGAGGACAAAAGTTTTAGGATTTGTTATGTTTTCTGAAGATCATGGATAGTAAGTGTAAAGTCTTGTTCTAGAATGCATCTAAATCCTTTTTCATACATCAGAAATCCCAAATGAGATCCAGGTTTAGATTGTCTATAGAAATCTTATAAAATTGGGACGTTTTCTTTGATAAATAATATGCATATTTTTTTTAAACACTGGTAGTTGTACTAATGTCACTCTAAAACTTGATGCTGAATATATTTTATTTTTAGAAATGTAGCTGCATGTTTAAGGAGAGTTGACTTATTTTTCTTTCAGATATTTTGCCCAAATCTGAAATACAAAGAGATGTAATTGTCACAGCAGAAGTTTCTCCTGATTTGGATGCAGAATCTGTATGTACCTGAAAAAAAGGATATTACTCTGTCAACATTGGTTGCATACATGAATAAATAATGGTTGAGTATGGATAGTGATTACTATGTAATTATATTTGTGGGACTGAGCTTCTGCATGGCCCCCTGTTTTCCATGACTTTAAATGCACTTTGAAAATAACTTTAAAATTATAAAAATTTAGTATTTTCAGTCTGGGGACCTTCAGACTCTAAGCAAGCAAATCTAAATGAAAACCCAGGATCTTTAATAACTTTGTAGTGGTGAGGATTTGTAATAGTGAACAGTTAATAATTTGGAGGGAAGCAGTAGAAATGTCACCTTTTGGGTCTGTTAAAAATAGAATAGGCAAACCACTCAAAGATGCATTGTAAGAAATAATCTTTCTCTGGCAAGGCATCATGCAGTATTCTCTGGTGTTGCCACGTATGTAATTTGTTCATCTTGTATACATGTGTAGTATATAAAAATTGATTAAAATTAAGATCCAGGAGAGCCATAGTCTGTCTTCAAACTTTTAACTTTAACATTTCAGAACATATTCATTGCACTCTTTTAGCTGTAAGTAGTCATTTCTGGACACTATGCAAAACTGTTTTCAGGGCTAATTTGTAAAAAATACAGAAGGAGCCGCTTTTTAATACTTATATAGGTATTTGATGTATTAATTGAAATTGTTAGTACTAGAGACAACAGTAGTAGTAATATTATCCTTTGATAAAGTGACCTCTTTATAATGTGTGCTAGTGTCCTAGCACTTGTCTGCTGAAAAGGGGACAGTGTGACATGGTCTTGGCTAGTTGCAATAATCTGCTCAGGAGACTTAGAACACTTAAGTCTATAGAATGCTCTCATCCTGGCGTGCTCATTCACTCAACCTCCCACATGTGAACAGTCTGTTTCATATGTAAGTAACTCAATATAGCAGTCAAGCCATAGCTCTGAATCTTAATTTCCAAAGGCTGTCCAAATGTCAGTTTCCTGTGTGGTAGACTTTCTTGGAGGTTCCTTCAGTAGCCATCTGGAAAGGAAAGATCTGATAAGATACTTCATGGGGAAGGAGAAGGATCAATAAGACAAATGTGGGAACAATTGTATGGCTTTTGCAGTGATCTTGGAAATCACAGGCTTGCAGATACTTATGCGCTTGTGAAAAGGTTTCAATTGCAATGTGTGTGGTAAAAGCAGAGAAGATATAAATGTGTTAAAATGGATCAGATAAGCAAGTGGAGGACCATTCTGGTTATTTAACACCACTTGCTATGTATGGCTTCTGATCTAGGTAGTCCAGCTGAATAAGGTAAGGATGAATCTTTTTGCTCCCCTGCTATTGCTTCAGGATCAACCCACCAGAGACAGTGGGCATGACAAGCCAGTATGAAAATAGCCATATTTTTTTTTTAAACTGAAAAAGATACACTATGTACAAATGAAAATGTCTAGAATCCAGAGATCTTACCAGCTTCCTGACTTGTTAAGAAATTTGCAGATGTGGACCATACACTGGCATGTTGGGATGAAAAGGAGAGTGAGTAGAAGACATCAGATTGATCTTAATTTACTTATTTATCATGAGAAGATATAAATTTAAGCTGATAATTTCGAATTATAGCAGAAATGAAGTGTTTCTTTAAACAGAAACATTTTCTTGAATTGTAAGGACTGACCTGTTGTAAAATGAATTATGAGCATAAAATGAGATATTAAAATAGACTGCAAGGTCAAGATGAATTTTGAATTAGATAGAATTGCCAGTTGAAATAGAAATCAACAGGCATCGCAAGATGCCTGCTATAATTTTCTTTTAAAGTTCAAAACATTTCTGATTATAAGAGGGTGTGTGGGGATTTTATAGTACATACTATGGTGTGTATATAATATATTGGCAGATTGGAAGTCACCTTTCCCTGCTGAAAAACAGAAGACATTTCCAGAATTTGAATAAATACACAGTGGAAAGTAGTGTGCCAAACAAAGCAGTTTCAAATATTCATATATACATCATAGTGTATTAGTTTCTTATATACACAACATTTAAGACCTTTTGCTATCCTTTTTTGCAAGCAATTTCAAACAGAGGCTTTTCATTTTCAGAAGGAACTCAGAAATGTATTTTGTATATTTTAATCTGTCATAAGCATAAGGCCTTTATTGTTAATTCCCTGCTTACCAAGTTGATGGTAGGAAAGTAATATTGCCTTCATTATGTTCACTCATTCGTGTGTAATATTTAATTTACTTTGTTTTCATCTTTTTCTTCACAGCAAGCCATTGACAGTGAGGTAAAAGCAGAGGCAGTACCATCAGTCACAGTAAAGGTACCGTGCCTAACTCAAACAGTAGCATAGTGGTGGCAAATTTTATCAAATCTGTCACTTTCTCTGTATTTCACTTAGATCATGAAAATGAGTAAAATATGAAATATAATGTATACATTCTTTTTTCCTTAGTATGACAATGTGTCATTCTAGCAAGCCTTCTGCTGAAGTCAAAGTGGCTGGAGTTTTCTTTTTCATGTTTGTCAAGAAGCAGACATAAAAACATTAGGATGGAATGAGGTTGTTTTTGAAGTAATAATAAATTTTCCTACACTTTTCTAAGGGAGTAAATGGTTATCTTCAGTTGCCTTTTTAGTTGTTGATAAACAGAAATAGACTTTCTTTTGTAAAAAGACTTCAATAGCTTTTGCTAGTGAAAAAAAATCTAGGAAAATCTAATTTTAAAATTGACATCAGTGTAGTGTTCCATGAGAAGTCTTGCCCATAAGTCATTCTAAAGAAAGTATAAGTTGGTGCATGTGCAGTTGTGTGTGCAAATGCAGTTTCTCCACAGGATTACTTGAAAAGAATAGTAATTTTTGTCTGAGTTTGACAGGATCTTCTAGAAATATCAATGGAGTCTTATTTTTAAAAAAACTTGCAAGTTATCCCTCTGTCTTGAGTGAAAAAGTTCAGAAGGCAACTAGAGTATTTACTGAACCAGATTCCCTTACAGTAGCATAGTTCAGTTACACATGGTCCAACATTTTTGTAGGCTTTCAAGTTATTGTATTCCATTATTGGCTGTAAGTAAATAAGAATTATAAAAGGAAAGTGTTGGCTTGAAAATTGAAATTTGAAGTTCTTGAGCATTGGTGCTGCATTTTTCTTTGCAGGTTTTTCATATCTTTTGACTGGTTATGTTTGTTTTCTACTATATGGAGATTAATTTCTTACTTCCTTCAAATACTTTGTCTTGCTTTAGATTACAATACAGAGCAGAGTGACTGCGCAGAAACCAAACCTGGCAGTATGTGTACAAGCTCCATTAGCAGTGACCTGTGACCAGTTCATCTTTGGTGATTTAGGTAAATGATGATAGTGCCATTACTGCTATTTGTGTTGTTGCAGATACACTGCAGCTTAAAGCAATTAGAAATTTGCCTGTACTCCACAGCTTCTAGATACTGCTTGGTGAAGGAAGACAAAGTAGAAAGTAATGGAGTTATATCCTTGATTATGGTAAAATGCATGGCACGTGAGGAGAGGCATGATGGCAGCTTCATGATGGAAAAGGAAAACAAAAGCAGTTATTCTGTGGTATTTTGGGGCATTTTGTTTTGCTGGCAATCCTGTTTATGTAGAAATGGTGCCACTGAGCTAAAGGCAGAGACAGAGAGCTTGGTTACCCAGGGACAAACTAACATAAGCTTCCAACTTAGCATCAACTGTCTTGTGATTCTAGCATTTTTCCAACTCTGACAAGAATAAATATGGGATTGCATTCAAGACTGGAGCTGAAGACCAAAGGTGCATGTCCTCCTGCCTCAGTTGGGACTGTAGACCATTTCTGCTCTGAAATGTACAGTAATGGTTGCTACTGGAACAGGGCTTCATTGACTGTCCTCTGAAGGACAGTTCATATGTTTTCTCAACATGTGACAAGAGCAAAGGGCTGATGGCTTTGTAAAATACCAAAATCACAATATAAAACTAGATTTATTTTTATATTCTCTGTATTCTGTGTGCTTAAATTTTTTATTGGCTATGCTTCAAGATAGTTATAAGTTGGAAAGTCTAGTTTTCTTTTTAGAAAACACAGGTTTTTTAAAAAAGAACTCCCAGTGATTCATTAAAGGTGAATTGATGGAAGCAAATAGAGTATTTTCCAAAGTACTAGAAAATGTTACTTTCATTTGAATACTTCTATAAATAGTTTTAATTCTGTATTGTTTTTAGAACCAGATTCATCTGAAACTGTGGTCCTGTCTGTCTTTTTGAAGGGGAATTGTTCTCCATCAGAACTAGAAGGAAATTGTCTGGTTTCATATATCACACCAACAGGTAAACCACTGGATACTTGCAACTGATTTGCCTTTTTTAAGGTCTTTTTCTTTACCTATTTTTTATAAATGTTCTTTTTAAATTTATTGAAGGCAGTAGTCATTAAAGAAATAGTATGTATTAGAGTCTAGCTTCTGTTTTAGTTAATATTTTATGTAGCATCATTAAGTGATGTAATTGGTCTTATAGAGGTAAAATCATGTTTATGGCTTGGAAAGCAGCTTTCCTACCCTGTCCTACCAATTTACTTCTGCTCTTCAAGGGACCACCTCTTGGACTGAGAAGTTAATTACACCTTTATGACTTTCCAGCCTTTTGGGCTGCCAGCAAGTGTGACAATAACTGCCTTCCCACAGAGGAAGAGGTTTGAATAAGCATCTGGAGTGATTATTTCTCACTTCCCTTTTAGCAGATGAACATATTAACTTTAAAAAAATAATGTAAACTAAAGGAATAGAAACTCAGTTCTTCTTTTTTATAGTGCCCTAATGACTCTAGTGATAGAATATTTTTACCTTGCTATCCATGACTGAAGACTGATCTACACATAGCCTTGTGAATGTGTCAGAATGCTGAACTGTATTTAGGCAGGGCTTCCACATCAAGTTAAATGCAGCATAAACCAGTTTATACTCTGATCTTCACTTCTCACTACTTGCAGTTGCTCCTTCACCTCCTTCCCTGTTGTGCTTACACAATCACCAGTAATTTATCAGCCAGATTTGCTGATATGGTGTACTGTGCAAACCCAGAACTGTGAATGGAGGGGTGATATGGTATAGACTGGAATCAAAGAAATGCCTGTGGAATCAGGGATTCTGTGAAGTGTGGTGGTCTCATGTATCTTGTTCTATGTATACATTTTCATTTAAGCATTTACTTCACATCACTTTTTACTTAAAACATTGTGTTTGTGATGATAGTCTTGGCTGTGGGATGATTGAAATGTTTATTTCTAGACAAAACGGTAACTTGTGTGTTTTAAAGAACTTGAATTTGCCCTCTTCAGATAAGGCTTGCAGATAGGTGGGGAGGGTGGGAGAAAATGATGTTCCTCCCTTGAGCCTGCATAAAGAGCTTGTAGAACTTAAGTCCCTCTCTTTTGTGACTCTGAGTGCTTATTCCTTGTGAATGAGTTGCTGTACCTTCATGAGTGTCCAGTTTTGTCATTTGGCTTTAGAAAGGCTTTGTATTAATACTGTATAGGTAGTATACTTCTGAGTATCTAGAATCCTCTGATTTTAAAAGCTTGCTTTTTGTTCTGCTGGTCTCTCTATTGTGATTTTGCTGTACAAAACACAAGTATACTTGTCACTGGCAAATGAATGTATTATTTCTTTCAGATGCTACTAGTTAAACTTAGGCTAATATTTTAGCTATTAGGTTGGATTTTGCAAGCTTTTTGGGTAGAAGTAAAGAAATCTTGTATCTTAAGTATGTTTGACTGTTTATGTGCAATTCGTAAAAAGTCTCCAGAAGACATGCCATCAAACAGACTAGGAAACTGTAGAAGAAATGTTAAAAACTTACCTTTGATGGTAGAATTTGGAAAGCTTTAAAATAAAGGAGCATACTTAAGATCTTACTAAATTTTTGGATGTTCATTTAAATTATCAAATGGGCATAATTTTATTAAATTACATACAGATATGTTAATTGTACATGGCAATCAAGTCCCTAAATGTAATGTACTAGTAAACAAAAATTAAATGCCTTTTGACTTCATTTAGAGAATTCTTCCTCTTTTAGTTTTTAAGATATCCATATTTGTAGCCAAATCAGTCTCAGAATATCTCTGTGGGATTCATACAGCTGAAGGTTAATGAGTCACTCAGTTGGAAGAGATTGCACGATTGAATGTGGTTGCATGTCTGTTTTTTGGCTAGTGTTGTCTGTTTAACAAATGTGGCTAAAATGATTTTAAACTTGTTACTATGTTTTCTTTTTTCTTAATTGAGTAGCATCTTATGTATTCTTTGTTTTTTTGTTTCCTTTTTTGTCCCTTTGCTGGTTATATGGTAGAGCTCAATCCTGATGGTGAGTAAATGAAAAAATGCAAAGTTTAAATAGTATGATGAGTGCCAGCATATGCTGAATAAAATAAATTTGAAATGGAGCTGTTATTTTACCTGTTACTTCCGTGAGTTCTTATCCGTGGTGTGATGCTGGGAAGGTGTGAATATTTCAGAAAATTGAAAGTAAACGAGGCTTAAAAGTAAGCTGGTTACCCATGGGGAAAATAGAATGTAGTAAAGACACTTGTTGATGAAGTATGTTGCACTTTCTAATATGTAACATAGGAGTTTTGTGAAGTATTAAGTGCCTTGTGCATTGAATTTGGAAATGGAAAATGCAATTGTATGCTCTTTATCATATATTAAGCTACTTTTTTCAAGTTTCAGTAAGATTTTAGGCAGCTAAATTACAGCTTTTTGTGGTGCAATTGAAACAGCTATTAATCGTTTGTGGGTATTGCTGTGCTGTTTGGGCTGAGTAGCTCTGAGAATGTCACTTAACATCTCTTAATTCCAGTTCCTATTGGAAACATCTTATTGAAGGCTAAAAGGCTCCTTTCTAACTGACAATACCAGCAGTACAAAACATTACTGTGATTGTGGTAGAGATGATACTTGCAAAAGGTAAAATTAAAACAGGACTGGAAAGTTAGTGTATGTATAGATGGACTAAATATAAGGAAGGGCAGTTTTGCAATGTATTGGCAAGATGCAGTCCCTGTTGGGAGGTATTTTATTAACTTAAAAAATATATGGTAAGTACAATTCCCTCGTGCTTTGGAGAGATGAAAAAGGTTGCTTGTCATAGATTTAGAAATCAAATGAAAGGCTGTTTTCAGTTTTGCAGCTTTCCTAAACAGAAGTTATGCATATAGATGTATGTATATTTGTGTCCTGTTTTTCAATATTTATGCCCATAAAAGCATCCTAATTGATGTAAAAAAGTAACTGTGTTAATGACTCCCTTTCTTTTTTGGGGTGTTTCAGGATACCTTGGGTGCAGGGAATAGATGCTTGAACTGTCTCAAACTACTACTCTTGGCAAGAATAGTTATCACCGTGTGGCAGATTTCTGCCACACAAAGTAATGTTAAGAAGTATTTAAAAATACAGTAGGTGTATAAACAAGCTATATAAAAATGAACGTTTATAATTTGAAAGGTTAACATTCTAAAAATGAAGATTTGGATTTAATTTTAAAAATTTTCTACTCAAAATTAAATCCTGATGTTGAAGAGAATATTGTGGAGCACAGTAAACTGTACAGAACTTTGTAAAATGATCTGGGACAGACTTTATTTGGGTTACTGAGAGAGGCACTAATCTAGGATCATCAATACCAGAGAAAACATAAATTCTCGGAATATTTAACATCCTAAATTAGAGATCTGAACTTGATTGTTCTTCATGTACATCAGTGCTTTGTTTCAGCTCTATTTAAGATGAATACATTAGTAAATTGTAAGTGAAATAACTATAGTGCATATAACTGTTTTATTACTTTTATCAGGTAAGTGCATAGTATGCCTCTAGTGAGAATTTAAGAGATGATGTTACAGAATTTGTTGTTTCACATTAGAAGACAATATGAAACTCGTTTCACGTTTGTTCTTTATTACAGTACTACATTGTATATTGTGCAGTGTGTCACCACTCTGGATAAAGTCAGATTTATTGTTAGATATCAAGACATTGAGGAAGTTTTGGCTCCCACATTTTGCTATTGCTTTGTTTTTTTTCTTTTTAAAATTCAGAAATATTCTGAAAGTATTTCCCAGGAAGAGTTTCTCACTGTAGTGATAAATTTTGTTGGAGATTTTTTGTTTTCTTATATATATGTTTTGGACTAATGAAATAGAAATATCCTTAGTCCCTTCCCAAACCCAGATAGTATTTAATTTAGTTTTGATTTGAACTTTGAAATAGGGAAAATATGTTTATGATGAGGCAGAGTGAGAGCAGACTAGGGAAGCCAGTTTGAAACAAGAAGAAAAGTATCTTGGTTTAATTATAAAAATATTTTGGAATATTTTTGGGTAGTTTTGTTGCCATTTTTTTCCAATTAATATTCATATCTTAGTTCAATAGTAAGATGTTTTTGTGTTGTCATCAAGCAAAGTTTATAATATTCATATCAGATGGTGAAGAAGCAGTTGAATGACTAATTTTGAAAGGTCATGAATTATTGTAAAGTATTTTTCAGGATTTTTTTCTCAGAACCCAGGTATATCCTAGTTTTGAGCACCTATCTTATACTTCTTGTTTTACATTTATTTTGTTTTTTGCAGGCTGCTGTAGAACTTGGAGGCATTATCAGCCAGCCAAATGAGCTAACAAACTAATAACCAGAGGGATGAATAGTAATATATTTTTCCTGAGTTGAATCTTAGAAATAATTTTTCATTGCAAGAGGTCTGTGAAGCAGCAAGCAAACACAATTGTTATCAAAAAGAGTTCCTTGGATAACTTAAGCAGTTGAACTCATTTTTATACTAACCTGCTAAGCTTACGTGACTGGTGTAGCTATATATCTGTTTCATGACTTTTCCCTCACCATATGATCCATGATAGTAACTTAGTTTATTGTCTCTAAAATGTTGCTATGAATGCCATCAACACTGTTCTCGGTAAGATGAATCTTGGTGCCTATAGTGATACATGTAGCCAGGCAAAATAAAGGTATCCATGGTAGTTGCTTCATCAAAAAACCCATAATTTAGCTGCCCAAAAGAGCAAGAATTCCATGTTTTGTAGCAACTAGCACTTTTACCTTTCAGGTAGAACATAATGGGCATTTTCTGACATGCCAGCAATTTTAAACAATGTTTATATTTGAGCAAATTTTTGACATATTCTAATGAATAGGTTTTCTAAATGTTCATGTTGTAGCCTCCTCTTTTCTCTTGCACCATTCTGAAAATTTAACTGAAATTGAGATTTTTACATGGTTTTTATTTTAGCATATTCCTTAATCACATTAAAAATATTTTCCTATACATCTTTGAGAATAGTAGTATGGAGTAGTCTGGAAGAAGCTTCTATTCAGACTATGGATATGAAAGATGAATCTGTGTCCTTTCATTTTAGGAATACCAAAAGTTGCACAGTGTAACTTCAGGCTGCCTTTGCGGTTAATTTGCTTTCCAGCTCAGCCTTCAAAAGCAGCAAGCCACAAGCTAACTATTGATACCAATAAACCTCCCGTCAGTTTTCTCACTATTTTTCCAGGTAGGTTTTTAAATGTCTATAAAAGGAGATGTGTTAAGTCCTACAGGAATTTTTGTCTATATGAAGTAATGAGGTAATTAACAAGGCTAATGTTAGAATGTTTAAAAAAGTTTCTTTTGAAATAAATGGTGGCATAACATTTCAATAATAATCCTCCTGGGCTAGTATATCTATCTCTGGTAAAACTGCAGATGGGCATGATACAGATCTCATTTTTAAGTATACAGAAAATCTTTTTACATAAACTTGTATCAGTAGTGTTGTAATGGGGATAAAGATAAGCAGGGCAAAGCAAAAGTGGTATATGTTGCATACAAGGTTGCTTTGGTGAAGAGTGTGGAATTCATGATATAACGATCTGGAGCTGTTATTTAATAATTTAATTAGCCTCTTTGGATCAAAAAGTAGACCAATATTTAGTGATATTTTCTAGTGTACAAACCTGAGCTGCATTTTACATTTATGAGAATACTAAGAAATAGTATGAAGGAGGAAATACGTGCCATTTAGGACTGGAAAAAGAAGAATTATATTGAGTACTGCAGAACGTAATGTTTTGAAGTAATTTCTGCTGTAGTTATGTGCTCATAGTTTGGAAGAGGTAGAGGAGGTAGAAGTTACCACAGTAATACTCTGTGGTACAATATGGTGCAATCATAAGCAAACAAAGAAGAATTGAGGATGCATTAGACAAAATGTTTCCACACAGGAAACTATTATGTTACCACACTGGCTTGCTGAATTCTGGTTGCTGGTATTAAATAAAAATTAATTCAAACTCAAGATTGTAGAAAGAGGCTATGAGTATTACCTAGGGATTTGAAGAGAATTAAAAGAAAGTGACTTATTTTGCTTAATAAAACACAGACAAAAAAGGGAATACAGTTGCCTTCAGTGAATATTATTTGCTATATTGTTATTGTAGATGATCATACTAGCACAAGAAGAAAAGAGTAGACAGGGTTTGATTGTGTGTAAATTCAGTCTGGCAGTGATTAAGTTTCTGAACTTCAGAGGACTATGGTTCTGGAGCAGTTTTGAGAGCTGTATGGAACAGCAAGTTTAATGTGGTATTATTAAAGTGGAGCTGCATCTATTTTTGAAAAGCCTATGTAGTACATTTGTCTGAAAGCACTGGAGTAGGCATGATTGTATTCTTTGGTGGCATGATTTCCTTCACTTTGAGGGTAAAGATATGTTTTCTCTCTAATGTGTGTACTGTGTAATACTTGAAACAGAAGCTTTTTTTCTAAGGTCTACATTTTTGGAGTTTTAGTCATAGGCTTCTGTTATGGCTACATAATAAATTTATGGAACTATGGATTTCTGTTTAGAGATTCTTTCAAAGTACAGTGTTATATTTTTACCTAGACACACATTGTTGAAAATATAACACATAGTACTAATGTGCTCCAGAAGAAGTTATTAAAATCTTGTGATTTCAGTTCGTCTCATTTCCAAAGCATGCTGTTTATGATGTGGTCTGTGAAGGAGCTTTGGATTCTTGGTGTCGTCAGTACAAATTCTCTCTTCTACTCCCTGCTTTGCCTTATTTCTAGGGAAAGGTTGGGACCATGGGTGATATGGAGTATTTTTTTAGAATATGGTACTCTAAAATTGAGCCTTTTAACCTGGTGTGATCCAAGGAAAAAAAAGGTGGGCACATGTGGACTGTGAAGAGTAGCTAGTTTTAGCAAGCTAGGTGATTGTTACGCTCTGTACTGAAAGCTGAAAAGAGTGTTCTTAAAAGTTTTCATGATATCTGCATAAGTTCTGCATAAATATCTGAATGAAGGGGGACTTTGCATCAAGTTATTGGGCTGAACACTAATCACAATTCTTTTTAGATGGTATGGGTATGAAAAATCTACTTTTTGTTGCCAGACTAGGGAAGAGCAACAGTGTGTGGTTCAGCTTCCATCTGTAAATGAAGGGAGTGTACACCAACTTCATACGAATGTTCTTCTGAGCTCTCAGAAGGGGAACAGTCTGTGCAAAGGTTGATATGGTCCTGGCTATGGCTTGAGGTTTGTTGAAAACCAGTGTCCAATTTCAGAAAATGCTATTTAACTTTCTCTTTCAGACTTTGTTGATCCATCTGAGAATGACCAGGTGAATAGTCTGGGGTTTCAGTTTTTAACTGGTTCAAAAACCACTCTTCTTGCTTCAAAAACATCGCGTAAGTGCTATTAGTATTAATGCAAAATAGATAATAATCAGTTAATAGATATAGAAGATGAGAATGTGGATCATAAAAAGAATAATAATCAGTGTGTGAGAACTAACACAAGTTTAAAAGTGTTAACTGACTGTTTCTTATTCCCTCTCAAATACCTAATTATGTTACTAGGGAAGGCACAAAATGTTATAGCAAAACAAGAAATCAGTCAAAATGTAGTACATCACAGTGACGATTCTCTGAAGGAACTGGGTTTTCTTCAAGTTTTTAGCAGTGTTTTTATTTGTGAATTAATACCATCATTGTAAGAATGGAAAAAACCCTCTTTTCCTCAAAGGTATTTCAACACTTGTGTTTGGAAGGAGTTATCTACTGGAATTTTTGAAAGGGACTAAAAAGCAGGTTTCTAACTCTCCACTTTCACTTGACTTTAGGCATCAGACCCTACTTATTTGCATCTCTACATCTAACTAAATGCTTGTCTCTATCATCAGATGCCTGTATATCTTTGGAAGATAAGATTATGGATTCAATATCCTTTCTGTTACGTTTACAGAATGTATGTGAATATATATGCTATAACCTGGTCCAGTGTCTCATGTATATGGCAGTTTGTGAATTAAGTAGTCATATTCCAACCACCTGTGTGTCTGTGCTCTTTAAAAAATGTTTGGTCTCTTCACTTTGGAAAGTGTATGATCTTGCCCTGTACAACTGCTCAGCTTGCTACACTCATTCTTGGCAAGTGTGTTGGAACCAAGTCAGTTCAATTGTGTTTTGCATTTTCAGTGCCAGCAGAGCACAAAGTCTTCATTTAACATAGCAGACTAAAGAAATGGAAAAGCTAAAGTACCTATTGCACATTGCAGGGAGTTCACATGGCACACTTGTGTGAATGCCTTCTGAAAACTCTTTTCAGTGGGGAATCAGAATCTGGTTTGTTGATGTGGAATTCTTCCTACACAAAAATAATCTGCCTCACTGTTTTCAAAAATCAGTATTCATGTTGGGTTATATAAATATTAGTGGCATCAGCTCTGAGCTATGAGATAATATTTAATACCTTTTAAAATGTAATCAAATGTGTTAAAAACAGAAACCATCTGGAGAGTAACTTTGATTGTACCAAGAATCTCTTTACATTTCTAGTGTTGAAATCCATTTGTATTGGTTTTTGCATGCATTATTTGCATGCTGTTTTATCGTTAGTTTGTTTTTAATATTTGTTTAAATAGTAGATCTTAAACAGTTTAAACTAGCTAGACATGCAATGATAGTTTCTAAAAACAAAATAATTTAAAGGATTTATAAATAACTTTTTTCTGGATTACAATTTAAATCTTTCATTTGGATGCTGTTTTGCATAGTTGCTAAATCTGATGCTGTGTAAGGGACAAAATTTGTGTCTTCTGCAGTGATATGTATTTAGCTTCTAGTGAAGCCATAACTTTTAACTCCCCCTCTGCAAACAGTCAGGCTTTTCCTCTCAGGTTTGTTTATTCACTAGTTAGGAATGAGGCTTGCAGGCTTACTATAAACTTTCCCACACTGCTTTGCTTGTGAAGTTCACTTTACAAAGGAGATACAAAATATCTCTTTCAGTGTGGCTGTTCATTTCTTGTGTCTGGGAATCCTTACTCTAGAAAACAAATGAGTTGTTTGATACCACCTTCCATGTTATCAGCCTGTTGCCACCATCCACTTTATGTGTTGGATTGGGTTGGTTACAGAATTTTTTGGGGAGTTTGCTTATTTTAAATGTTACTTAAATAAAACTTTTTTTAAAAATTGTAAAAGGTGTCTGGTATGGTTCAGAATATTTTTATGAGAAGAAACTAGCCATAATGCAAAAGCATTGCTTGGTGGAATTTAAATCTATTAAAATGATTGTGCTTAAGTGGACAAAGCTCCTATGAAACTAATGAATGCAGGTGAAATGGTGTTATTTGGGAGGGCCTTATTCTGCTACGTAGTTTAATACAGTTTGTACTTTTGTAAAAGTGCTTACACAACATTATCGTTGTGGAAATGTTCTTCAAAAAGCAAGTCGTATGTTTAGATAATGGCTAGAAGTAATAGTTTTTCAGAAAAAATGTAAAAAAATAATTAATTGAGACAGAAGAATCCTTATTGCTGTTTTTCCATGAAAGAAGTTAGTCTTGGACTTTAGAAGAAGAGTCTTTTTTCCTATGCCTTATCAAATGGACCTTAACTTTTGAATGGGGAGAATGGCATGTAGGAATGAAAAGTTCAGTTGGGTTTCACTGTTGAAGCTGTTAGCATGACTGATATCTGTTGTCACACTTGTTTTTAATTGCATTAGCTAATCCATTTTGAACAGTAATTGAAGGTGCTACTTCAGCCTGTCAAGAAGACTACTGCAAAGAAGCCTAGCCTGAACTTAATTTTGACAGTTAATACATATTAAAAAGAAGCTCACTCTGTGTAGGTTAAGATTTTAAGGTTTTTTGCTGGATATTTTAAAGCTGTCTTTTAAACAAAGCATAAAGAGGTTTTGAATGATAATTGACTTTTTGGGGGTTTTTGGTTTTTGTTTGTTTTGGTTTTTTTCTGCTGGTGTGGCCTTCCAAGCTGAGAAATTCACTGAATCTTCTAGTTTTCCTTTGGCTATCCTACTTGCAGGACAACCATTCTTAATGCTCTTCGTGCTAGTTGGACAACGTGTTCTAGTGTGAAAAGGCTTTGTAACTCATGTAACCGGTTGATGCTCCTCAGCTGAGCTTTCGTTACAGAATTTTCTGAATAGCTATTGTAACTTTCTTTAGCAGAGCTTGTTTTAACAAAAAAAGCACAAATGGGTTAACTATTACAAAATCATGATGTGCGGCAGTTTGATTTTTTCATTGTGTTTCTGTTTAAAGGATGTGTTTAGTACAACTAAAGATTCTCAGATTCATGTCGTTTCTAAATCTAATTTCTTTTTTGAGAGCTGGAAGACCATGTAAAGCAAATGACTACAATGCTCTCTAGTCAGGCCATGGTAGAATTAGATTGTGTTTGTATTGACCAAAAATGTATGGAAACTAAATATGCATTTTTGAGGAAATTAGTTTTCTCCATTTAAAACCATTAATATATTAGATATGTCAATTATAAATAGAATGACTGTTGATTTGGCCTGAAAACATCTGAGCTAATTTCCCTCAAGCAAAAAATCACTTAAGGCAAAGTATGATGATATATCCAACAAAGTCCAACCATTACATTGTGAGTGTTTAAAAAATGGATATTAGGTTGAATGTTATCTTTAGCAGATGGTGTTCTTTTCTTTAACAGGCATGTTTTTAAATAAAACTTGCTTCTTTCCTGTTACATTGTAAACAGAATTTGTCATTCTTTATTCAGTGAAATACGTATCCTGGGAAAGATGCCAGTGGTAATGTCAAACAATCTTGAGTTACTGATGTTGAGAAAATTTTAAATAAGTACACTCAAGTTCTAAAGAATTCTGGTTAATTTGATTTATTATGACCCTTATTAACAAGGGTGAAAAAACCCCTATTTTGTATCTAACCCCAACAATTCTTTCCTCATAGCTGCATTTCTGTCTCTTTCTTTGGATAAGGTAGATGCTATCTACCCCTTTGGATATGACATTGGTAGATAACTAATGAAAAGAAAAAGGAATTGTTGCTTGCAAGCCTTTATTCAGGAAAAAAAAAAAAAAGCTGCTGTGATTTTCCCCAATGTTTTTCTCTTAGCATTCAGTTAATTCTGATTTCCTGAACACAAAAGAGGGGATTATACAAATGTGGACTAGAGACAACAGAAATAGAATCTCATTCCATTGGGCTGATAGCTTGAAATTCACTAAAACATGCTAAATTAAATTCATTTTCTGGGACAGGCAACCAAAGGATTTAGTTTTTCACTTCAGTTTATATTAACAATTACATCTCTACACTGAGCCATTTTTACAAAGCCATAGTGTGTAGATGGGTAAAAACAACTTTCTTACTAATATTAGCTGTATCTAGAGTAAAGCATAGCACTATCAAAACTCTTTTGTTTTCTATGTCTAGTTAGAGTAATGTTTTCCCTACTAGGAGATAGTCTAGAAAGTGGAGATGTCATATAAATTATATTGAGTGTATTATTTAAAATCTCAGTAGCCATTTCCAAAAGATATTCAAGATTTTAGGTGGATTGGCATTGGTTTGCTACCACTGTCATCAGATGTTTGGGATGCTGTGCTTCTGCCATGATCCAAAGTGAATTAAGCCTGATTCTGCCTCCAACCCTTAGGAAAGCTCACTAAGGTTGTGTTGTGGCAGAGAATTGCAAACAACCTTCATATCATCCAGTACTTCTCTTGTTTCCTTCTATATAGTAGTTGTTCATAGCTCTTTTTTCTTTATGAACAGGCCTATACTCTGAAGGGAAGTAGTCCTGAAACAATAAACACTTGCATTTTGTGCCACAAAATTGTCTGTTAAAATTAGGATTAGAAGAGAGTGTTTAGGACTGACATCAATAAAAGACAAGTATTTCTTCAGTACTTGTGAACAAGCATCTTTTCTGCAAATCTCAGATGAACTTTGGATACAGTTAGCAAGTTAAATTTGTATTAGCTATGTGGTATAGTGTATGTATGTATGTGACTTGAATGTGTGTTAGTCTTATATTTGCTCTTGTTTTCAAAGAACGATACAGAATCCAGAGTGATCAGTTAGAAGACCTTTGGCTGATAACAAAAGAGCTCACGCTTCGACTTGAAGAACATTTCAAGAAGCAAAAGTGCAAAGATTTTGCATGTACCTTTTCTGGTTCCATTCCCCTGCAGGAATATTTTGAACTAATTGATCGACACTTTGAGGTATGTTACATAAAATGTGACTCATTCATGTTCTGCTAATTTAAAAATTATTTGTATTGTAATATGATGAATAAGTTTATAACTATAGCTATCACAGGCTTTAGGCTTTCAGAAAATAGAAAATTGGATCTAAGTACTGGAAAAAATGTCCTCATTTAGTTTTATCTTATGGAATATACCTTGCCTCTGAAACAGTCCTTATGATTAGCAGAAAGCAATTAGCTAGTGTGAAGTCTGCAAGTAATACAAATTATGGTACTGGTATTTGCTTATCTGCTCACTGCCTGTATAGAAGCCATGGGTTCTTCATTCACTAAGGTAGTGTTATTTGTAAAATTGTTCTTAAAACTTGTCCTTATTTTAAGCTATTTTACTCTTCTGCAATAATGAAGCTGTGAGAGTTTTTTTGAATCATCCTTGTAATTGTGTTTAAAAAAATCCCTTCAGATTTAAAAAAAGCACCTGACTGCACTTGTAGAATTAGCATTGGAGGCTCAAGGAGGTTTAGTAACCAGACCAGATAATAAGTAAAATGTAATTACCTTTCCTGTTTGGCCATGCAGATGACAATGAAAAATCTCCTGTAGTCCAGTTAGCTTGCAGAATAGCTAGTAAAATGAAACACCTGCACTCCTTTCCAGTAAAATGTAATAGCTATTTTAAAATGTCTGTCGCACTCATGTGATGGCAAAAGTAGTAACGTATGCAGAGAAGAGTGAGAAACACTATTGGATGTTTCTTCATGTTGCCAGATTTTCTGTGAGATGGGGCCATCACCCCACAGAAAGATGAAAGTTGTAGTTTGGATTCTCTGGGATTTTTCAAGGACGCAGCCTGGATCCTGGTCTATCTCTCAAGCTCACGAGTAGTTATTATTCTGTTAGTCTTTCACCTTACTTGAAATTCTTAAAGGTTGTTTTGTTTTTTTTTTTGTGACTGGTATTGTAGAAATACCTTAAACATAGGCTTCATTAGATTGTGTAACAAGTTGAAATACAGCTTGGAAATAGAGCTGTGGTTGGTGGAATGCTAAGTTAGGATGTAATTATGATGCAGCTGGCTGTTCTGAAGTTTCTGAAATTTTAAAATAATTTTGGACTAAAAAGTACCAAATGATCTAGCAAAGGGATTCTAATGCTCCCATCTCAGTTTCAGCACACTTTTTTGGCAGGCTTGTGAAAATATTACCTGAGGCATCCCTTTTTTTCTCCTACTTCTAGAAAAGCTGTATAGTGTTTCTTTGTCTCAGCTTCCATGAACTGTCCTTCATAATCATGTGCTGACATAATAGTATGTTTGCTTATATTTAGATATCATCTGTTTTCTAAATTTAGGAAACTTAATTTTTCTGCTCCATTTGGAGCACTTTAAAATGGAGGTATGTCATAATGCTCACATGTGGAAAGCTGCATGTCTTAATGTTTCTTGTGATAACTTATGCTGCTCACAACATGCCAGCTGTACAGAAGAGTCCCAGATTTTTTAAAGACTCACCTTTATTTTGTTTTCTTTGTGTTAAGGTGTGGACTGGAAAAAGGTAAGGTGTTAAAAAGATAAAATATGATTACGTATTATCTCGGCATTTGTGCAATGTTCAGTTTTGTAAACACTTCAAGAAACTTTTTATATGTGATCAATATATACAAAAGGAAAAAGCATCTCACTTCAGAAAAGACAGTAATTCATACAGTGCAGAATTTAGTACGTTTTTTCACATTTATGGGAATAACCATTTACTTTCTACTGCAATGAATATCAATTCAAATACAATTTATATATGCATCATAAATAGTACATCAAACCAAGAGAGCCTTGAGATTTTGGTGGTGAAATTTCCCTCTTGTTATTAGGATTCTTGATAACAAATTTATGCATTTTCATTGATTATTGTGACTGAAAAATTAATTTTTATTTCAGAGGCAAATCACTGAAAATGTTCATAAGCTTCAAGGGGAGCGTAAAATCTGAAACTGGTGTAAATAACATTATCATATTGGAGTAATAGTCTCCCAAAAGTTTTCTCATTTCGTTGTTCTCGTTTTGTTCTCTCATTTCATTTGGAATGTGCATGCATGTATATGAACTTTAACCTGAATTCTGGAAAACCCTTAAATTGCAGTTACGTTTGAATGCTGAAAAGTTTCAGGAGCTGTTGTCTGAAAGGGCTGTGCAGTTTCGAGCTATTGAGCGGCGATTGCTGACACGATTCAAAGACAAAACTCCTGCTCCTCTTCAACATCTGGACACCTTGTTAGAAGGAACATTCAGAGAGGTCAGTACAATTTGATAATGAGCCTAACCTTTCTTTATGTTGTTGGTAAAACTTAGCTTAAAACATATAAGCTATGCTTTCCTGGTTACATTAACCATCCAAGAGACCAGGAAGCAGTAATTTGTTTAACCTAATATTCCCTGCAAGTTTCCAGATGATTTGCAATAGTTTTATTTAATCTGCAACCACAAAATTTTTACTCTTGGGTCACACCAGCTTGACAGCACATCATTCTTTCCTAACTGATGTTGATAGTATAAATATTTTATAGTTCATGTGAAAATATTTTATAGTTCATAGCTTGTGTAAATATTTTATGGTACACTGTAAACTGGTGGAATGGTTTGGTTGGTCTAATATTCACAACAAAATTGTGTGAGGCTGACCATGTCCTTCCTTATGGGGATTTTATGTTCTAATCATTTCAGAATGTGATAGCTGCAGAAGAACAATGTTTGAAAAAAAATTGTTTCTAAACCAGCCCCATACTGGAAGTACACGAGGTATAAAACAATTTTTCTTTTTCCTGCCTCAGCCCTGCAGTTCTTTAGAATAACTCCTGTTTCATGATGAGCCCTTTGCTAGGAAGTTACTTTATGTCTTTTGTGCTTTTCTGTTGGAGGATCTGATTTTGTTTTTCTAACATGCCTTATTAAAGACGCCAAGTCACAATTAGATTCCTTTCTGGAAAACATTTACCTTTATATGATGTTGTGTATCACAACAATTAAAAAACAAAGGTATTGAGGAAACATGTTTTTCCTTTCTGTTTGCTGTAAGAAAACATTTCTCTAAATTGGAGAAAACTACCTTTCTGTGTATGATTAGACATGAGTCAGATTTGCCTTTATTTCAGTCTTTACTATGAAGAAGTTAACTATAAGATGGTTTACATTTGCAAGTGGGGCTTTTCTGGTTGCTTTAAGAAATACTAGGTATTGTTGTGATAGATGGGTGATTCTTTAACACTTTGAAATGGCATGACTAAATAAGCCCTAAAGATAAACAGAAATGAGACTCCTGAGTCTGCTTTTGCTATGTAGAACTGTTGCGTTTAAGCTTCAAAGCAACTCGGATGTGCTTCACCATTTTCTTACGCAGCTGAATTGAGAGATGGGTTATGAGAATATGACAAAAATCAGGTACTTGAAGTAGATACATATTGCAGGGGCTTATTTTATGAAGAACTTGAAACCAAAATCAGATGAGTGCTTTTCTTAACAATTACTGTTGTGAGATTTTTTAATTAGAATTGCTGTAGTTGAAAGGAGAATGAAGAAAGAGGTTTCTTTCCAGAGAACAACTGCTTACATTTTTCCACGTTTGTTAAAACTGTTTTAGCAAGCTCATATTTTTCTTAATAGATTGCCTATGTCGTTTTGTTTGTTTTAATGCCCTTCCAACAAACAAATTATATTATTGTTAGTATGAACAAAAGTGAGGTAAAATAGCAATTACCATCAAAACTCAACTGCTGCATAAGTTGTTTTGAAAGTGAGAGCTGTGGTAGATTTTAATATTGTCTCTTAGCTATGTGGGTGAAATGAAATTGTTTGATGCATTCCATGTATTAGAAAAGACCTTATTTTCTTTAATTCAGTATCATCTTCTGTCTTTATTTGAACAATTATATTTAATGCAAATGGTTGAAGTATTCAAAATATGGTACATGTGTTTTCAGTAAAGAAATAATGAGGCTGGATAAATATGAACAGTTTGAAGTCTCTCTCAAAATTCAAGCATGTCGCTTTTTTAACATTGGAATTTAATTAAATTGTATTACTTAAGAATATTGCCTTTCAGAAGAATTTTTCAAACAAGTTGCCTTTTTTTTCTTTTGAAAAGTTGTATGTTTTGAGCACCATGGTTGTGTTTTGTAGTTTTCCTAATGCAGAATGCATTCAGTGAAGAATTATGATCCATACTCAATAGACTCTTAAGTGGAATGACTCTTATTTGTTTCAGTGAAATGTGGATTGAACTCAAAATAGGTGATGTAGAGGCTTTAGGGGTTTTTGTAATGAGAAAGACTTGATAAATCCCATAATAAAAGACTCCAGCTTTTAGAAAAGGAATTGATTTTTTTTTCTCTTATCATTGTCTGAGAACCTTATCTCCTCACTATCCGTTAAATATTTTTACTATGAGAAAACAAAAATTTCCTTTGTTTTATCCTCTCATTTTTCTTCAAAGTAATTATGTACAAAGAAAGGTTTTGTTACTTTTTGTTGGGTTTCGCAGTCAGTAGGGAAATGTACATGTTTTAGTTTCATAGTGCATTCCAAAC